ATGTGCAGGACCTGGACGCACCTTCCTCACCACGCACCATAGCTTGGGGCTAGGGATTCTTTAAGGGGTTTTCATCCCCGCGGGCCGGCCAATTAAGACAAGCCTCCCGTCCCTGCGAAACTTGACCTAACAGGGTTACGGTTATGCGGGTTATTGTTTGTATTTTCATGGGCCATTCCACAAGCACCCCCATCCTGTTGTTTCTCAATAGAGTTTCCAACTTTTCTTTAATTTTTTCAATCTCCTTATCCGCCTCTTTCTTTTCCTCCTTATTTAAGTTCCCGCTACTGGTATAAATTTCCATAAATTTATCCGTTGTCATTAATATTTCTTTAACTATTCTCACATTTTCTCTGATTTTCTCTCCTACTCCTATCTCTCCTACCGTTTCCGCAACAGTTCCCCCTATTTTTTGTCTGTCCCTAAGGCTAAAATTAAAGCTAAAATTCCTACTAGTATTAAAAAAAGATGCATCCATAACATTCCCACGTTAGGGGTCGGTCGATTAATATAGTCCGCTCAGGCAGAGTTGCCCTTGCCTGAGTAAGGCTCTTACACCCCAGGATTCGCCTACTTCCAGGGGGTTGTGCGCTAGCGACTGGTGCTCCCACAGCCACGCCCTAATGTGCAGGACCTGGACGCACCTTCCTCACCACGCACCATAGCTTGGGGCTAGGGATTTTTTTAAGGGATTTTCATCCCCGCGGGTCGGCCAATTAAGACAAGCCTCCCGTCCCTGCGAAACTTCACCTAACAGGGTTACGGTTATGCGGACAAAGGGATACAGTGCACCATATAATATATGACTGTCCCAGGATACAAACTTAACCCCGGACAATGATCAACAACCTTGCAACCCACAACAGCACATGGCCATGTGACCTAACACTGCCAGTGCTATTTTAAAGAATGCAGGTGACTCCGATTATTTGTGGAAAAAATATTTTCGCAATTTTTGTTTTTGTAATTTTTTGATGATCGAGTATTGATTTTTTTTTTATTTCAAGCATTTTCTTCTCATACCGCCAGAACTGCCTAAAAAATCGTAGCGACCGTTACGCTGAACATCCTGTATACATACAGTGATGAGCAAAAGTATAAACACGCGAGCTAAGTTGTCACTGGAACGGCTAATACTGCTATATTTTACGTTAAATCATGGGGTACAATAGATTAAAATAATTTATTGAGTATTACACATAGAATGTAACACATTTTTTCGTTTTTAGCAACGGTATACAATGAATTGAATGAAAACAGATATGTGATACCATGTTTATACTTTTGCACGTTCCCTAAGAAATACATGAAATACGAAATAAATCGTGAAGGTCTTTGCAAATCGTAAATTAATAATCTTATCATTGTTATCACTATAACTGAAATGTTTCCCTGTCACAAATGTATTTCAATGCAGAAAGTTCTTGTTATTGTAGATCAAATATCTAATAAATACTTAAATCACATTATTTAAATACAAAATTCTATGCACAAATTTGTTTGAATTGTTACTCAAATACAAATATTATCCACTATACGATATGAGCGTAGCTTTTATTAAATCAAGTACAGTGGAGGAAGAATTATACATATTTATTTTCAGTGAAGATTGTAAAATTAGAATACGTGATATTATCACAAATTAAACATTGTATACTCATACGATGATCGAGTATTGATTTTTTTTTTATTTCAAGCATTTTCTTCTCGTACCGCCAGAACTGCCTAAAAAATCGTAGCGACCGTTACGCTGAACACCCTGTATACATACAGTGATGAGCAAAAGTATAAACACGCGAGCTAAGTTGTCACTGGAACGGCTAATACTGCTATATTTTACGTTAAATCATGGGGTACAATAGATTAAAATAATTTATTGAGTATTACACATAGAATGTAACACATTTTTTCGTTTTTAGCAACGGTATACAATGAATTGAATGAAAACAGATATGTGATACCATGTTTATACTTTTGCACGTTCCCTAAGAAATACATGAAATACGAAATAAATCGTGAAGGTCTTTGCAAATCGTAAATTAATAATCTTATCATTGTTATCACTATAACTGAAATGTTTCCCTGTCACAAATGTATTTCAATGCAGAAAGTTCTTGTTATTGTAGATCAAATATCTAATAAATACTTAAATCACATTATTTATATACAAAATTCTATGGAAAAATTTGTTTGAATTGTTTCTCAAATACAAATATTATCAACGATACGATATGAGTGTAGCTTTTATTAAATCAAGTACAGTGGAGGAACAATTATACATATTTATTTTCAGTGAAGATTGTAAAATTAGAATATGTGATATTATCACAAATTAAACATTGTATACTCATACTACCTTCGTTTATATTTGAGAATTGCATTTGATACAATTGCTATATTACTTTCAAATGTAATTTTTAATTAGTTCTTACGCAAGGTACGTAAACCTTGACAAAAACTTCGACGGTCGTAACACTGCGCGAAAATAATAGAAGTCCCTTTTGAAGCGTCGAACGGTCAAGTCTCGGCACTTGTGGCATGGCCCCGTCAGGGCTAATCTCTCGAGACACCAGCCAGGCCCTGCCATAAAGTATCGAGAAAACCGAGCACTTCGCGTTAGTCACGGAAGTGCATGGTGGTACGCGTGCCCCTTCCCTCGTTTCTATCTCTGATGGTGTGGAGACAAAGTCGACCAATTAGGTCAAATTTTGTGCTTCACCCCCATCGGAGCCTCGAAGCGTAGAGAGGGAAATCGCGCTTCCCTCAGGAGGAATCGTCCTCCGAAAAAGACAGAACATTTTCAACACTCGCCGTAAAAAGAACATTTTCAACACTCGCCGTAAATAGACCAAAGTCAAAACTCGTACACCGGCAAAAAAACTCGTAGTAAATTGACCAAAATCAAAACTCGTACACCGGGAAAAACACTCGATCGTTCTCGTACAGACTCGATCAGCTTCCTTCTGAAGCTCGTGGTTTGCGAACAGATTCAGTCGCCGGCCGATTAAGTTGCCCGGCGAAGTGGACGTTTCCCTCGTGGATCACCGAAAGTCGCATGAGTCAGGAAATTCCACCATCACGGCGTTACTCTGACACCCGAGTCGGAAAAAGGGCGCATCTCGCAACAACTACCTTCGTTTATATTTGAGAATTGCATTTGATACAATTGCTATATTACTTTCAAATGTAATTTTTAATTTAACATAAATGTATACCATACAAAGCACATATGGTTTATAACAATAAATTAATTAATTAAAACAATGAAAATTACATCCTTACTAAAAGTTTAACTCAATTTGGGAGAAACTCTTCCTAAAGAACTCGAACCGTTTATACCAACCATAACTTATAGTTTTACTACTGATAACCAACTCTGTCGTGTCCTCAAACACGGAACATTGACGCGACCTATGACCCCCCACGTTGACCTGTGGCGCCGGTCTATACCTGCCAATAGAAGCTCAGGAAGGGGCCTTAGGACCTTACTTCGAGAAAGGCGTTGATTGGTCCTTTCCTCGAACCTACAGCTTAAATGTAATGGTTAACTATTTAACCAATCAGCGTGTTCTAACTAAAAACTCTCCAACGGACGTCCGAGGAACGACGTCGACATTCAGTCGTCCAACAAACACCAAGTAGCAACCAGCTAAAATTGTCTCGATCTCACTAGTCCCAGTATAACTGGGTGGTCCTTCGAGAAGGTTTTGAATAAAAGTCGGCACACCACGTGCAAGTACAACCCAAGTCCGAAAGTTGATTTTGAAACTATCACGGGCACTAACAGCTACGGAAAGATATATACAGGGTGTCCCGTAACTCCTCGAACACCCGGAAATGGGGGGTTGCTGGGGTGACTCTGAGCGCTCAGGGGCGGAGAACAGAGGCTATTTTCAGACCTTCGCTATTTTCTTCACGATTCCGACTAATTGCAGTTTTTTCAAAAATTTATACAAACGTGGAAATGACGGCAGAAAACCATTTCTCTAAGCCTTATAAAAATAGCGGTGCAAAGTTAAAATTTTTTGACAGCGATCGATAACCGAGAAGTACGCATTTGTTCACGATCGCGCGCGGATGAGATTCAGCGCTCCCGTGCCTGGGCGCGGGCTCTACGCGCGCTCTGATAGGCCAGTGTTTTTCGTTAATAATTCAAAAATGAAGCTTCAAACAACATTTTGGTAAACGAAAAAGTTGTTCAGAGTCACCCCAGCAACCCCCCATTTCCGGGTGTTCGAGGAGTTACGAGACACCCTGTATAAGCAGCCCCGTTTAACATAGAATCAGTCAAAAAGGGAGCCTTGTAACAAGAAGCCGAACCACGGCTCCACAATAAAGCAACTTATAACCGAACAAAAAGCACACTGAACATTTTCATTACAATCTTCATCGCATTCCGCATTGAGTTGAAAAAAGACCGTGACGCCTTATAACCGAACAAATAAGAGCACGGTACACAACAAGCTCTTCATGACGATCATTTCAGGGTATCAGTGTCAAGTTATACAGATGATATGAAGGAATGCGCTTTTCTCAACTTCATTGAAATAGATCTAAATAAATCACATCTTTCTTCAAAACTAATAAATGAAATTAATTAAAACTTCAACACTACATTTCTTCATAATTATTCACGCAAGGTAGCAATGGTGAATGTACTTATTTTCTTGTATTATCAAAAATAATATTTCATACTGCTTCATCTTCAGAAATCAAAAAGGATAATTGTTATAATGTTATTAGTTATATTTATTAATTTTAATGCTAATTTTAGACAAAGTATTAAATTCTGAATATACAATATACGTCAATTCCCAATAAAAATGAGTAATAAATGTTTATAATATTTATTTACATGGAAAATTTGCGTATCGTACAATTCGTTCTATTACAATTTTACCATATCAGTTAACGTCTGTAGTCAAAGAATGAAAATCGAACATAAATATCTAAAAAATAGTAAAATAATAATCGACTTATTAAATGAGCAAATAATGTATTCAGTAGGCCACTATTACTAGAAGGATAATGTCCACTACAGCCAACCAGGTGGTAGCTAGTCTCTCGTAATTACCCGAACTGAGAGCAGAGGCTTGACAAGCGGTATGTGGGGTTCCTAATGTCAACAGAATTTTGTCAGACGAATAAGATGGAGTAGTTTCGGTGCAAACAGCTCTTCCTGCTAGTGTTCTTAACTGTCTAGCATCCGACTGAGAAGCTGTATGGATCTGCCGGGATTCTCGAAGCCATCGTCGCAACCATAAGCTGAGCCAAGCAATTTCACAATCACACTCTAGAGGGTTTCCTGATACTTGCAGCCCACCTGGAAAATAATAACGTAGTTATGCGTAAGTACATAAATGCGAAATTTGGAGCACCCGATACGCAGTTAAAAATAAGCTTTAGTTGATATATGTAAGTGTTGCGTCCCAACACCTCACCCTTCTGGGGGTCATTTCTCGGCTCGTCATATGCCGCGCAGACCGGGCCAGAGTCACCGTGAGTCACACTGTTTTATTCAAAGAACTTTGAACCATTTCGTAGCAACAATAAGTTTATGAAGATGATGAACACTTTCAATTTTCCTTTCTGAAGCCAAATATTTTCGTAGCAAGTGCGTACCTAGAGATTAACATTTACCGTTCCAGTTTTATTATTTTTTAGTATGCTTTAGTAGAGTTGAAGTTCTTCCTAAGTTTATTAGTTGCTACGGTCATTATTCGAGACACGCGGAATATTTCGCGTGAGTCCCTTGATGGTACCTTCTGTACCTGATGGTGATCATTAACGAGGGGGCAGTCAGGTTTTCTAAAAATCTTCGCCTACAATTTTCGGCCAATCGCGTAAATCGACAGCCACCCTTGCCAAAATCGACTCCGATGATCAACTTGACTCATCTGCGTGTCTTACCCCCGCGAACTCACCCTCAACGAGGTAATTTAAATCACCACCCGGCGAAAAACGACCAGATCAGAAAAAACAATCAAGTGTAATACAAATAATGTTAATCGGCGGTGTCTCGAGCCATATCATGTCAATAAAGCTCAAAATCGTTAATTCAAGACTGAACCAGAGTGTCCACAGATGTCCGAATTCATGACGCTTGCAGAAATAAGAGAATACTAAAAATATCTAGTTATGTTTAGAATTTTTCATTCAAATATTTTGACAATACTTCAATCATTAAAACCACAAAATCAAAATTAATCTTTTTTCTTAATAGGATATACGAGTATGTAAGAATATGAAGAGAAATATGTATGTGGTGCTATTTAAAAAATACAAGATAACTCCAATTTTTTTATGAAAAAAAGATACATTCAAAGGTCTTCTTTACATCAATAAATTTTTATTTGGTACCAATGAACTTTTGTTTGAAACACTTTCTTGTTAAGTTATCAAAATCAAGTGAAATATGATGACCACCCTTTCCTTTATACAGGGTATTCGGTAACAGTTGGTCGAAAATATAAGGGATGATTCTACAAGCCAGAATAAGATGAAAATCAAGAATAAAATATAGCGTTTGAGGCTTCGTTTCTTAGTTATTAACAATTACAGATATTCCTGTGACCGAGCTATCCTTGTGGCATTAGCGAGTATAGGGCAGGTCAAGACATGGGAAGCGCAGATATTCTCAAAACAAATGACACGTGGTCGGCAGTTTACTCCGAACAGGTAAGGAGAAGCGCCGCGAGGGCATAAACCATTCCGGGAAAAGACGTTGTAGTACGGTCACTACGTGGCGACTTCTTCGGAATGAAAAGGGCATTTCTGGGGACCCCATTGAAAGCCCTGGCAGAGAGTAAGAAAAAGGACAAACTCCAGGTGAGACTGGTCGTAACAAGAGTTAGGCGAGCTCCAAAAATGGTGAAGTGTTTCAGATGACAGGCAATGGGGCACTTGAGTTAGACATCTGGATATTTGTTGGAGGTGCGGACAGAAAAGTCACTGGACGAAAGACTGCTCCAAGCAACCCCGGTGTGCGGTCTGCGAGAAGACCGGCAAACGCGAGTACAGACACGTGATGTAGTACGGGCAACACGACAAAGATAATGCGGATATTACAGATAAATCTTAACAGAAGTAAGCGATGAGGGAGTTGAACGTCGACGTCGCGATAGCGTCTGAACCCAATAAGACTGTGGACGAATGATTCGTGGATTCCAACGGGGACACGGCGATTGTGCCGGAACCCAAGGTCTTTTTGGAAGTGACCGTGGGAGACTTCGGACTGATCAGTTGCTACATCTCTCCAAAAATTAGTATCACAGAGTACAAGAGATATTGGTGCACGGGGAAAGTGACTGAACAATTAGTGATGGACGACTTCGACGCACAGTCGGTAGCCTGGGAATCCAATAGCACAGACAAATGCGGTTTTGTGTTGATGGAGCCTAGAGACTGCGATATGTGTTCGTACACACGGCTGGCGAATATACCTTCAATAGAGGAGGGTGCAGAGGTTGCAGAGGGTAGTGAAAAACTCGGTTCTAGGGCTATATACTGCCTCGGACCGCAGGTATGTCATGCATGATGGAGAAACTGATGAACTGAGTAGAAGGGCTCCGAATGGACTTGATGTCCGCAGTAGAACGACGAACTTTTCCTCGAAAAATACGAGAAATTGATGGCGGAGATCGGTGGCGCGGAGTCCATAATGGAACATTGGCATAACTCCACCCACAGGGAGTGCCACGAGATGATGAAAATCAGAAAGCCGAGTGGACGTGAAAAAGCGGCCCGAAGGAAGAAGGCTAATAAATCAAGGCAAAAGCTTAAAAAGGCTAGGAAAAGTAATGCGGAGTATGAGGACTTGACGAAAGATCTTTGCGCAAAAAGAAAGTCTTTAGAACTGAAAATAAGGAATAGTAAGGAAACTCGATGGGCGGAGTTCGTGGAAACGCTGGACGATAACCCATGGGGAAAACCTTAAAAAGTGATAACCAAGAAGTTGCGGGTGCGTTCGCCAGAACCAATCTTAACAGTAGAACGATTTGAGTGAATTACTCAGGATTTGTTGCTGTAATATAAAAAAAAATTTAACTTATTATACACTACATAACTCGAGATCATTACTCACCAGCTACCATATTGGTCCCAACGCTTTCCCATGAAAGATTTCCATAAATAACTGAAGGACTGAGTTCATTAATATGATTATTCCTCAAATCCAATGTTAATTGAGAAAGTCTCTTCGTTAAAGATAGAAACATATCCGACTGCAGCCTATGAACTCGAGTATCTTTTATTCTCAATATCAATTCGCCACCTTCGATAGTAGAAAATGCTTCCGAAGAAATCACTTCGAGGTCGCTTCCAGATATCGTTAACTCTCTTAACTGTTTCGTAAAAGCATTTTGTATCTGATGTTTTAATAAATGTTCCGTAACTTGAATCTCCACGGTTCTCAACGGTAATCCAGTTAACAGATGTCGAAGATGAAAGCCATCTGCTTCCGGCCACGTTTGAATTCGAAGGTGTTTCAAATACTTCAACACGCGAAGACAGTCTTTATCTACTGACTTGGTGCTATTCAGATTTCTTAAGTTCAATTTTTCTAATCTTGGATAACCCGAAAAACTCTCCTTTGTCAGTTCCTGAATAAATTTTCTTTTATTAACTCACGTTAAATGTTTGAAACTGCGTAAAAAGAATATCGAAAGTAACATTTTTTATTCATACATCAACTGGAGTGAAAATAATGCCCTAACCTTAGTAATGCTACGCGTATACGCAATTTTAATAGTATTTTTGTATTGGAAATATTATTTCACTCCCATCTTATATTATGTTATTTGCGAGACAAATCTGACCTTAATGAATTACTGCACATATTTTCTAGCTCGTTATAAAATTTTGTATTGTTTGAGTAATAGTTGAATTAATGATAAATATTTGAATAGAGATTATCCTTCACTCAAGCAGTCAGAACTACAATATTGAAAGCGGAAAAGGGGAACACACGCTTTATTGTACATAAAATGATGTTCTGTCCGGCAACCTAAACTTGAGAATTCAGGCGTGCCTTAAGGCTTAGAAGTGAGAGATGTAGGAGAAATTGTGACATCTCGTTGTTATTCAGCTAATAGCGATAGAATAAACAATAGGCGACGATCGAGCCTGGCGTGAGCAGTCGGTATAAATGAGCCACCTACTGATTTTCGAGGCGCGGAAATGGTGGCTGTCGGTGTGTGGTGGCGTTATTTTTCATTACAGTCAGAAATTTCTGGACATTATAAGTAATTCTTTAAAATAAAGAAAACTATTATTATTATTCAGGAGCAACAAAAAATATTTACTTTTTACTTTTCTAAATTTTAAAAGATATTAATACATTTCCCGAGGCTTCCTTTGCAACAACAATTTATCGTGTATGAGACATTTGGAAATTAATGTCCGTGCTATTGAGTGCTGGTCTTACGCGCCAACGCAAATAAGAGGGCAAGGCGATTAAATAATCTTCATTTTCCTGTTCTTTTATCAGCGTCTGGTTTAAATACAACAGTAGTTTAAACAGGCATATACTAGGTACAGGATAGACCTTGCACCTAATGTATTTTTGTGTCCAACGTTCTGGGATACCGACCGTATAAAAAATCAGAGGTGATGATCAAAGATGTGACCAACCATCAAAGATGTTACAATCAACAGATGTAAAAAATCCTCTTTTAATAAATTTGCATATAAAGATGCATACACATGTTACGTATGTAGCCTACTCGAAACGCGCGGCGCCTGGTATTTAGTCTATCGCGCACCGCCCTGGAAAGTCCTAGAGATAGGGCAAAAGATCGGGTCGAATTCCTTTCCGAGCAGTTCAAGTTTACGTTGCATTGTACTTATTCTGTGTAATGTCAACTAGACAGTACTGTCTACGACTCTCCCGCGTACTCGCTGTGTCAAGTCGAGAAGGAAGATTCTTGCCGAGTCAAGAGTCGATCAAAACATATTAGATTCAAAGTTTTTGTAAACCTCTGTAAAGCATTGCCAACTAAAACGTTTATTTAATAGAATATAGGCCTGTAGAGTTACATTCGCCTATATTCAGTATACCTCTCCTAAAGTAGCATTAATAGCGAATCAGCAAAACCCACGTACCCTAACCTTTACCGCTCGAGGTATACATATCAAAAATTACGACACACGAAGTCTTTACACCCTTGCATACGTGGAGTCCGGTGTATTGTCATACATCGCATGTTCCACCTACTCCTGTCAATATACCCGACATACCGCTCCGTGTGAGGACCGAAGCGTATGCCTTAACACAAATATTGGATTGCGTGGGTAGAATTGTTCACGATCTTCTGACAGCAGTAGAACACGCGCATGTGATGAATCATCTACTAATAAACAATTACGTTACTTTTTTATTTGTAAATTCATAGTTACATTTCATTCTAATACCTAACCACTACTAATGTTCTAATATTATAATATGCTAAATCCGCGACGTTGGAAGCGACAGAATAGTAAGGGTCTTCTCGGCCCCGGACACAAAGTTCAATAAGATGTCTTATTC